GCATGTGTGACAGTTATTCTGGGTGAAGTTGTTAAGCTATCTGTTCAAAGTGAATGAGACAAATATAAAACAATCCATATTCCCCAGTAGTGTAAAACTTAGGGATTCAACACTTCAAAGATGTAGCTTTTCTGAACAAGCAACAAATTCTAGGACTACTTAAAGAAATAGATCATTAATACCTGAACTTCTGAATCAAAAGAAAAGAGATTCTGTCTTCCATCTCCTCTACTGAGTTTGTTAAGCTGTTCAGTTTCTCTTCCATACTAAAATTAAAAAATATACATATATGTGAAAGTAGACCAAATATTATTTCATTTCCTTCATAACAGTTTTGAACATTGTTTAAATATACAGGTTACGTGAACTAGCAATCTAACACAACCTCGAAAATATGCCATTGTCCATTACCATGTATTTAAGATGCTTCCTTGGCTAAGAAGTGATAGACTGCTGTCATCATGACCCATGATAAGCTACTGATCAGACTCTTATACTTTCTGTATCTCTCATATCACCAATAATGTTGTTCAGTGTGCAGTAGGTACAAAAATGGAATCCAAGAGATGTTGGATACAAAGGAGAAATTAACAAAAGAGAAAACACTATCTTTCCACATATCCACACTTCATATAGAATTCTGATTCCTTCCCCTCAGGAAAGACATAATGGGCTGTACAGTTGGAGTGACAAAAACTGAGATGGGCTATGACTGAAATCTACCAAATCATAGAAAGCCTAAATCAGGGACCACATGAACACACCTACATTTTGAAAACAGCTTTGAGACTTGTTGATGCTTGACAGAAGGTTAGATTCAAAATTAAAAATAAAAAAGGAATTGCTAAAATTGTATAATTTTGTAGTCCAGAAAAAGGAATGAAGTAAAAACAGAAATAGGCTCAACAAGGGTTTCAATGAATAAATGGGGCATAGACTCCTAATCCATGATGAAATAGAGTTTGTTTGGTAAAATCCGTATCTCAGTAAGATATGCATGATAATTACCCTTTACAGTTTTAAAATCGGCTCATTTCAAACGCCAAAGAGCAGAGTAAATAATCCTCACCAAATCTCTAACTGGTGAAATTTATAGGCCTATACATATATATTCAATATAAGGAGAATATGTGACTTGCATATGCAATTACTTATGTAAATTAGATTGACTATCACATGCATACTGTTCCATCAATAGTTCCTTGAAAGAACATTTTATGAATGACATATAGTAATTAAACTGCATAAGAAAAAAAAAACCAAACTCACTGCTGTTGCATAAGTAAATAAAATTAATAAAGTCACAAGAACTTGGAAGGACTTTCTGGTGTCTAGGAAAGAAAAATTTTCCAAACTGTCATTTGGCACTTATAAATCTGTCTTTAGCAGTGCAACTTTTCTTTTATAATTTCTACCTCCTTCATTAATTGGCTGTTTTTTTTTTTTTTTTAACTTAGAGATGACATTGCCAATTGGAGCTGAGCATTGAAACGTTAATAGCTAATCCTGCATTGTCTCATTTGATGGCAAGTTGCCACAAGAAAGACATACCTTCATCAGCTCTGGATGCATGCTCCTCTCCAAACTGGCCATGATGTTCTCGACTTTTCCTTGGCTGCTAGTTTCATCATCTGTAAATTCATTAAAAGCAGATGTTCCCAACCACACAGACCGTGACTAATCACCTTAAGAGGACCATCTTAACTATCTATCCCAGCCCCATTCTCTCCTACTAGGATTTATTGCAAAGAATTTTGATTATGAAAGCACGGGGAAATCTTTAATGGACTTTTGAAAATCTGCCATGAATTTCCTATCCATTTTAGTCTGGTTATATTTCATATGTCAGAGCCCATGCAGCATCAACTCTAAAAAATATTTATCAACCTTCAGAGTCATTTGTAATGAAGAAGCAGGTCAACCATCAAGATTCACAGTTCCATATTCACCTTGCACAAAGGATATTCCCATGGATTAAAGACAAAGGCTTTACATTGGTAATGAATCATTTCAAAATTCTGACCTTGTGCTGTTTCTACCGTCTCCTTTTTTTCTTGCACTAAACTGTCGGTATTGATCTGAATAATCTTTTTCAAAGTTATCAACCATTCCTCCATTTCCTGCTCAGTTTCAGCAGCCAGATAATGGCTATACTTATCTAACATCTTGAGTTCAAAAGCATGACGGCGCATTTTGGGGCACTAGAAAGGGGAAAAAGAAATATGTTTAGTTAGTTTAGTTATCCTCTTAATATTAGATTTCATTATTTATTTTTACTTCAGCTCAGTACATATGTGCATCAATACCTTCATGAAATAATTGCTTCTTTCAACAAGAAACCTAAGTTCAAGATGACGACAGGCCACAACAAACACATGTTTTTTGTTTCCCTTGGTAATGGGGACTGTGCTATATGAACAAGGTTGGCATAAAATACTGCTTGCTAAGGAAGTATCATCATATAAGGCCTTTCAGCACCCTTCACATTTAAAAGAACAAACTACCACCATAAAAGTCAACAAATATTTCACTCTTTAGACCCTGCTTAAAAGTTT